GAATAAATCATACATGCTGGAGGTTAAGTTGTCCACAGGCTCTACAAATACATTTTTTATGAAAAATGTTATTATTTTCTGCGCAAGTAAGAACCAGATGAATACTTTGGCTTATTATGCACCATTTCCCAGGCAATGAAACCTTTGTTTGGATCAACTTGGTTGTTTTTGTTCAGTCTCTAGAAACCAGAAAATATCTGCAAATCTTTCTATCTATTTTTTTATTATTATTATTTTGGCCAGAATATGGATCCATCTGTCTTGTCTGGACCTGTTTGTGATTTTCCATGTGGCACTCAAACACAAAAGCAAAGCCACTTTATTATGACTGCTGTCCACACATAATCAAACACACACCCGGTTCAATGCCGGTGTTCCTGTAAGTCTGGTACACATCTATCCAGTTTTCATAAAGTCAGAACAACAAGCTATTTCAATGAGCCAAATAACAATTGCCACCAGTGTCATGCCATATCCACACACCTTCACCTCCACTGCAGCCAAATGCCAAACCACACCTTTCTGCACAGCTGCCAGTCTGACTGGTCACAGTAGGTAAAGCACAGCTGTGATTAACCAAACCTGTGATTTAGATTCTGAGAACTTTAAGATCACATCACATCAGTTTCCCCATACCTTCCTATGACTGACATAAAAAAAGTTAAAGAAAGTTGTTATGAAGTATGGAATAAGGAGTGACAGTATTTAGGGCTGCAGAGCCAGCAGAATTAAACTTGTCGGGCTAGCAATGCCATCCTAGTAGAAATGGTATGAATGACAGCAGTGTTCTGATTTGAGGATTAGATGTTCGAATCATTTAGTACAAGTGCCATAGACTCCTGGTCCAACGGCCACTTATGGCCGACGAACCTCCCACCTCTGGTCTACAACTAGATATTTACAATGTTTGTTTTAATTTATTTGTTAGAATTAGTATTGTATAACAGTAGTGATATTGAATTAAATTAATAAAATAATTCATTAGTATCATACAGTGTTTATAGTAAATTAATTGATTATTTAGTTAATGATTTTACAAAACTGTTGATTATTTTTAAAATTTTAAAAAAATTAAAAAGATGCAAGTTCATCTTCACAAACCAAAAGTAGCAGAGCAGATGTGTCCAGCAAAGAGGAGGTGAAACCAGAACAATTAGTGCAGCCACAGCAGGGCTGGAATGTCCAGGAGATTTATGGAACGAGCAACATTTTACTTGGTTCAGTAAGGTGTCAGAGTCAGACATTGACCTTTCCAGCTGTGATCTGTAGAACAGAGTGTTATTAATTCTAATGGGTGACTGTGGTGGACTGCCGTCTCCTGGGGAGTACACTTACAAGAAATAGGAGGATTGTTTCAGGGGAGGGTCAGATAACTGCCACCTAAACCCCTTCACAGACATGATCAGGGTTTCAATCACACCAGAATGATTGTCAGCAGTAACACAATGATGGACACCTATTTCTACAGTTACAGAAAGTTTAAACCATGTGATTTCAACGATGACTTGGGGAGGAAATGCAATCATCCTGAACCTCAGGAAGATTAAAAAAGCAACGTGAGACAAAAATAGTCACTTGAGAATTATTTTTAGACCTACCACTCCAAAACAGTTTTTACAAAATGTAAGAAATACACTTTTTGACAATTTAATCAACAACACATTTAACAGCAGTGTCTTTCAATTGTATAGCTCCGCAGAACAGCTAATTCATGACATCATGACACAGGTCTGAAATGCAGGTAAAATGCATCCAGCATCACCTGTAGGGAAGGAAAGAGAACTACAAGCTCAGTTCAAAAGACAAAACTGGGATTTAGGGAGAAGGTAGGTGTGAGCTGAAACCCTCCTGGTGGCAGAGTTTACTTTACAGACAAAAAAATACCAGGAATAAATAAATTATTTTAAAAAGTATATAACAAATGAATATCAAACTACAGCAAACAGTACAGTTAAATCTTTGGTTTAGTATTTGTAAAGAATACATAATGATTACTCAAATATCGAATAATTAAACTAGGCGGTGGCACTTTGGCCCAGAGGGCAATGTCTCTGTCATTGGTGTGGAACCCCAGGGTTCACCTCCTGGGCAAGATCGAATCCCGGTTAGGGTGGTTGGTACCTTTCAGTGGACTCACCACCCACAGGAAGGTTTAGGGGGTTGGTACCTTTCAGTGGACTCACCACCCGCAGGAAAGTTTAAGTACGGTGCAATATGATTTGGGTGGCGACTGCTGCCCCCGCAACCCAGTAACGGATAAGCAGATGAAAATGGATGGATGGATGGATAAACTAGGGGGGCACCAAGAGTTTTCCCATGTCACTATACGAGGTATAGGACCGCCCATGCTCCAATCCACAGAAGGGAGACGACTCAGAAGTTATGATCGATTGATAGACACGAGCGTGTATGCGTATCTGTGACAAGGCACGTCTGCGTTCGTCAGACAGAGAGAGAGAGAGAGAGAGAGAGAGAGAGAGAGGGGGGGGGGGGGGGGGAAGAGAGAAACGCACATCCCTCCAGGAGCGCACACTTTCTCTGGCACTGGGTTTTTCACTGCTCACATTCTGAGACTGGTAACCGAGGAATCAACACACGGTAGGTAAGAGTTTAGTTTTCTTTCTCTACAGACGCTAGGAACACAAGGGTACATTGGTGTGTCTGGTGGATGCACATCAATCTGACGGAATAACAGAAAAGCAGGATTTTGAAGAAAAATATAGCTTCTTCCTTAAATGTTTTCTTTTTTATATCCTGTATGTTTGTTAATCTCCTGTAATCGCCAATTACCCAATAATCCATCAATGTCGAATAACAACGGAGACAATGTAAGTCTGTTCAAAAGTATACAAATGTATATTAACATATTAGTAGTAGTAAAAATAATATATTTGTATACAACAACAATTATTTATATTATTATATTAGTATTATATAACAACAACAACAATAATAAATAACAGTCATCATTGTTATTAATTCCATTATCATTATTGTAATTGATTGTTTGACATGTACAGCCATTTTTTTCCAGATATGTTCTTATCACATATGTTCCAAGGTTGATTCTATACAAAAATAACTGCAATGTTGATAATTATTCCAAATGAATCCAATTTTTCACAATTGCTGCTACAATATTGCTTTACATCAGAAGCACAGTCTTATAAAACAATAAGACGACTGATTTTGTCCACGTTTGATGTTTAACATCTGTCTCAGTGTACAGTGTAACAGTGTTATCTGTGAGCATGGTGTCAGGCAGAATACTAATGTTTGATTACATATGTTTCCATACCACTCCACAGTTCTTAGTGTTTGGTCTAGTATTTGTTCTATAAATGTAGCTTTAACAGCACTGCTGTGATTGACAACAGACATGATCAATCAATCAATCAATATTTATTTATAGAGCACATTTCATGCACAAAGCAAACTCAACAGTGGTTCAAAAAGTTAAATATAAAAACAAAAAAACATTGGTAAACACCCCCTGCGCTTTTAGACCCTCGCATCAGCTGAGGTACAACTCCCAAGAAAAACCCTTAATTGGGTAAAAAAAATGATGCACTGCTATGATGCACTGCTGCTGTATAATCATCATGTTCAGTTTTCCCTCATTAAAAGACAACAAGAACAAACCACAGCTGTGCAACTCACTCACACAGAATGGATGAATTCTATTTTGGCTGTTTTTAAATGTCATGTCCACCTCAGTTTTTTTTTTCAACAAAAATGACAACAGGTGCAAAGAATAGTTTGTTTGTGAACAGAACAGTTTATCTGCTGTTATGTTTTAATGCAAGAAAACAAGTTTCAAGAAGTACAATGTATAACATTTCCCAACACAATGCTGTGTCTCTGGCATGTTGTGGTTTAGGAGTCCACTCAAGGTGTAAGGCTATAGAATGTCATCACATTTTATAGTTATATACTGTATAATAAATACAATAATACAATCCAGTGATGTAAAAAGGATTAAGATAAATCCAAGATTTAAAAGAGGGGTGATTAATTGGACTTGTGGTTGATATCAGACAGATTTGGCTTCACAAAAAAATCAAAATCAAATGGATTCTTCTGGTATTTTGACATCTCTAGTGGTTAATAAAACTTTAAATATAGATATTGATCTTTGGACAACGTCATCTATTTAAAGCCAGGGGCCAGAAAACCACAGCCTTTCCAGTTTCCCCGTTTGCAGAAGAGCATCTCTGACCATCATCACCACAGATGCCTTGCATCAGCAGATTACACTGGGTGTCAATGTGTCTTGTTAAAACTAGACACTGATGCTAAAGCTCACAACACTGACTTTCTGAAAAAAGTTCTGAAAATGCTGCCTGTTTGAAGATAAATTAGGTTTTGTGGCCATGCACAAATACAAGGGTCAGAATGTGAAATAAACAACACCGAAGCTGAGGGGGTATAGCGACAGATCCTTGTGGTGGGGGTGGTTGTGATGGAGACAGGATATTTTCTTGTCACACTCTCAGCCTGTCTATAACAAGAGACATCAACAGCATGCTACAACCAAGCTGATTGATGTTGCTGACCAAGTGCACAGCAACGACAAAACCTTTAGATTGCTGCCTCTAGGAAATCCAAACAGGTCACAAAGCTAAAGTCATCTGAACTTAATTTCTTGGAGAATTACACTGAATTATTTGTGTTTAAAAGACATCCACAGTAACAAAACCCCAATTTAAGAAAGCATTTAGAAATGTGGTGACTCTGGACATAAGCATTATGGATGTGGAGCTGACAAACACTGCTAATGTTTCGTCATGAATCTTTAGCACAGAGGTGGATGTTCTGAGGGCAAACAGGACTCTACACCATGTGCTGGCCAGATGAACCTAATAATGTAGACAAAGTGTTTTAGTAGAAAATGCATTCAATAATTAAAAACAAAATCCAAATAACAACTACAAATTAATGTGGTCAATCCCAGAAATTTGCCTGGGGATTTAGAAAAGAACCAGGTTGATGACCGAAACATGGGTGTATAAAATTTAAAAAAAATTAGGAAAGAAAAATTAAATGATTTTTTTTTTTTTTTACCCACAGGCTGACATAATCCTGGGATGGAGAGCACAGTCAGTGGATGGGTGGAGGAGGTCACCAACCATTCATGTGCAACACTGCACATCGACATAAATGGAAATAACACAGATTACGTCTTTGAAGTGGCCTTGCAGAACAGCTCCTCCAAGCGCAGCTCCCAGTTTGTGGGTGTGGAGCTGCTGCAGTCCTTCAAGTTGCTTATCATCCCCTTTTACACCCTGGTGGCCTTGGTTGGCGTTTTCGGGAACTACCTGCTCCTCTACGTCATTTGCTGCACACGCAAGATGCACAACGTCACCAACTTCTTCATCGGAAACCTGGCCTTCTCCGACATGCTAATGTGCGCCACCTGCGTCCCCTTCACACTGGCCTATGCCTTTAATCCACGTGGCTGGGTGTTCGGGCGATTCATGTGCTACCTGGTTTACCTCATCCAACCTGTGACGGTATACGTGTCAGTCTTCACTCTCACTGCCATTGGTGTGGACAGGTACGTTATAATGAGCTACAGTA